AAGAAGTTCCCATAGAGATTTTGGGTGATATATCCATTTAGTGAAAGAAAGTCTTGGTTGTTCTTAAAGTTCTTTTCGTAGATAACAGTTTAGCTATGGAATAGAGCTGGGATATTGCTAGATATGTCTGTGGAGAGAGCTAGTCTAAAAAGGCTACTCAATTGGTATTTGTGGCGATTTAGAGAGTTACCTATGTGTCTCAAATCTTATGATGTAACTCTCCTCAGTATAGTGGATTTTAGTTTATAATGCTTGTGGATGTAGCCTTTAGGGATGAGCTGCGTAAATCTTTGTGTTCTCATGTTACATATGTTTATACTTTATTCATCATTCTTGTATGGACCCGGTTTCTATGTGGCCAAGTCCGCGTATGTAGAAATACGGGCCTTTTAATAAATCTATTTTTGATATGGATTTTAAGGCTTAATTTTTAAGGACATGCAATCTCTAACAATGAGATTATAAATATGAAAAACTAAATAAATTTTAAAAATTAGAAATAATAATTCTAGTAAGAAAATATTTGGACCGTTAATTTTCATTGTTTTTAGATGGAACACCTACTTGCATCCATCTTTAATATGGATACTTTACACTTTATGCGGTCCAGCCGGAATGAAACAATTTTCCCCCTTGTATTGTGGTTCATAATTTTGCTGATTTTGTTTCTAGCCCGTTAAGTACACAATTCTAATTGGATCTAACTTTTAGGTAAGAGGAGAGGATTTTTGAAGCATAACACCAATCTTGCTCATGGTATGCGCCCAAGAATGATTAGTGTGATATGCATCTCCACAAAACTTCTTGTCGTTATTCGTGAAACATAACATGGCCTACATATCATTTTCTCCAACGGAGGAGATCAAGACTCGCACAACTTATGCAGGAGCCTATTCCATGGACCATTCCCCATGTAAATGACAATAAAAATTCTAAAAATATAGTTTTCAGGATCGGATCAGTAACCAAAATAGAGATAGGTTTGGTTTAATCAAAACTAGTTTGACCGTTGTTTAAAAGCGTTAGACTAGATTTTTTTAAAATATAAAAATTAAAAATAATAGTTCATAAATATAAAATAGAAAAATATAGAATGAGACAATTTACTTTTGATACAAGGTAGTCACATTAATCTTGATTATTAGATGTGAAATTGGATGGCTGCAATTATTCTACCCAGCTAAAACTTCAAAAGAATTTTTCTCGAATTTTGTGATACATCCAAGATATCAAACTTCACATCAAATGGTTATAAGGAATTGTGACCACATTGTTTAAAGGTAAATGGTTTCATTGTATACAATCTTATATAAAATAGGGATTGTATATAATGAGATCCTTTATTTTTGATAGAAGGTGGTCACAATTACTTATAACTATCCGATGTGAAGTTTGATAGCTTGGATGTATCACAAAGTTCAAGAAAATTTCTTTTGAAGTTTGAGCTTGATCAATGGAATAATTGTATCCACCCAATTTCACATCCAATGCTCAATATTAATGTATCACATTGTACCAAAGGTAAATGGTCTTATACTATATTTTCCCTATAAAATATGTTAGAAAAAAAGTTTTCTCAATTTTGTTTAACCAGTCGAATTGGTAAAAAACTGACCATCCAATTAGTTAAAACTGGTTAAACAGTTATTTGACTGGTTTAAACCGAATTAGATTCTACTGCAGACTAGACTAGCTAATCCGTTCCAGCCTTGATAACTATGTCCTTAAATCGCAAAATTTTATCATTTTCATTTCATTTCAAGGAAGATCATAATAATTTCTTTATCATAATCACTATGGCTATTAAGAAAGCAAAACTCCTTTCTACTTTGCACCATACCAAAAATTGTGGTGAGGCTTGTGTAAAAGCATGAAACCACCAATTTTGGTGGCCAGATGTTTATGCTTACGTCCCCATATGAGGGGAATGAACAAGAATTTGGTCGACCGGCCACTCATGGCGGACACGGCAGTCACCTGGGTCGTCCATTTGAGAAATATGTTCGGATTGGCGGTCTAGATCGTGGAAGCAGCCGAATTCAGCCTTAAAAAAGATTTTAAAAAATTACTAAAAATCCCTCAAAAATCAAAATATTGTCCTTTTAGTTCCAAAAAAGGGGAAGTGTATTATGTATTTTAGTTATTTTGCTAAAAATATATGAAAATTGAGATGACGTTTATTGTCTGAGTGTCTATTGATATTAATTTTGATGTTAGTTTTAATACTAGTTTTGATATAGTACTTCAAAAAAATTTGGAAACTCATTTTGAGATTTTTAGGAAGAAACGAAAGAGAGTGATTTTTTATTCTAATTGCATGATACTAATTTCAATTTTTTGTGTGATCTTTCTCGCGCGCACATCATTAGACCTCTCCCTCTCACATATACTCTCTCACACTTACATACAGTTTTTTTTTTGGGGTAATTCAGCGGGGAAACATGCCCTACTTATTTTTGTATGTGGATTAGGAATTAGATTTTTGAATGTGTTGGTGTGGTGATGTTAGTGATAGAAATGGAAACCACAATGTGGTGACTAGGTGTTGGGATGCTACTACATTTACATACACCCGTAAAAGAAAATTCGACATCTCCCTCTCTCTCGCACGTACATACACTCGTAAAGCAAATCAGACATCTCCCTGTCTCCCTGTGTATACAAGGAACCAAGTGGTTCCAGATATTGAAACCATTTGGTTCCATTCCACATTGGAAATCTCCGTGAAGTCTATTGAAAGAATTTGGTTCTCAAATATGCTTATTCATTGATGGCTTTTCGAATTGCCTTTTTTTATTTTATTTTAAGGACACGGTTTCATTAGTCTGTGTAGAAAGAGTCACCTCTTAAAAATCTATTTTTGAGATTAATTTTTGGACTTAATTTTTAAGAACATGTAATCTCTAACATGAAGATCATGAATATGAGTAAATAAATAGATTTTAAAAATTAAAAATAATAATTCTATTAAAAAAAATATTTGAACTGTTAGTTATAATTGTTTTTAGATGGACCATCTATTTGTATCCATCTTTAAGATGGATGCTTTATACCTTGGGACCACATATTATAGAAATATGGTTTAGCCTGCATGAAACAATTTTCCGTTTTTTAATGCAAAAGGACTGCGATGAATGAATTTTAGATAGTACTATTGTGGGAGGATTTGTATATTGGTGAAATTGGGCTTTGGTGGAGGGACATATGCTGCTTTCCTTGGTTCTATAATACTTCCAAAGGTCACGCTAGGGAGGGCAATGGGCCGAGCCAGCCCTAACCTGGCCCAGCCTTGACAGTACCAAAGAGGACGTGGCCTAAGTCCAATCCTCTCCCTACACAGTAGGGTTGGGATGGCCCGGGCCATATAAAATAAAAGAAAGGGTAAAACTAAGAAGAAAAGAGGGCCGGGCGAGGCCCCCCGGCCCATTGGCACCCTTAGTCACATGGGGGTAGTACGTATATGAGGGTCAAGGGTTGGAAGCGTAAGGAACGTGTGCTACACAAGCACACATGAATCGGTGGCTCCTCAATCAAACCGGGTGTGATCCATCCTACTCTTGTTTATTTAAAAAATTAAATAGGAGAAATGGAAAAAATATTTTCTTATTTTATTAAAAATGAATAAAAAATTAAATAGTTTATTTAGAATTAAATAAAAAATAAATAGCAGAAATGAAAAAAATTTGTTCCTATTTTTGTTAAAAAATTAAATAAAATTAAATAGGAGAAATAAAATTAATTTCTTCCTATTGAAAAATGTAATAAAAAGAATTTAAAGTACAATAAATTAATAAAATTTTATAAAAATATGGGAACCGGATGAGCCACCAGTTCTAATATGCCTAGTTCGCTGACAGAACCGGTTTGATTCTTGAAAAAACTACTTAGATATTATGGGAATTGGAATGGCTCCACAGTTACCTAATCTAAATTGGACAAGCTTTCTATGCTTCCCCTATAACATAAAACTTATATATACTTCCCCTTATCCAACCGTCCATTTTGAATGGAGGGCTAAGATTGCCCCAATCACATTGAGCCGTATTAAGGCCAGTTACATAATGCATGCCTAGCCACCCAATTCTGCATTAAATTGGTGAGGACTATTTTCAAATAAATAGTCTTATAGCATATAATCCCTTGTAATTTTATATTAGAGAAAATTACATAAAAATCCGTTATACTTTGTGTTATTACCGATATACCAAATAGTTTCCATTATTACATGTATGTCCATTTTTACCTTTTATAACGCAATTTTTTTTAAAAAGACTACTTTACCTTTTTTCAGATGTTGAACTTCCGAATTGGTGGGATTTTCGGATGTTCATCATCCGAAAATAGACCAAAGTTAAGCATTAAATTTCCTATTTTCAGATGCTGAACATCCAAATTTAAGGCATGTTAAAATACCCCGATAGTTTAACGTTAAGTATAACATTTTCGAATGTTAAACACCTAAATTTAAAAGATTTTTGGATGTTCAACATCCGAAAACAGAGAAGACGAAGGTTTATTTAACTATCAAGGTATTTTCGAATGTTGAACATCTGAAAATCTCTTAAATTCAGATGTTTAACATCTGAAAATATTATACTTAACGTTAAACTATCGGGGCATTTTCGGATGTTGAACATCCGAAAATCCCTTAATTTTGGATTTTCAACATCCGTAAGTAGGGAATTTAACGTTTAACTTTCGGCTTATTTCGGATGTTGAACATCCAAAAAAAGTTAAAGTGACATTTTTTTAAAAAATTACATTATAAAAGGTAAAAACTGGACATACATGTAATAACGGAAACTATTTGGTATATCTGTAATAATGCAAAGTATAATGGATTTTTATGTAATTTTCCCTTTATATTAATTTAATGACTCTTTAAAATTTAAACCATAAGCATGACGAATTTGAAATAAAAAAAAGCAATTAAGCTCCAATCAATCTGGGACAAAATTCCACTCATTTTTACTAATAAAAAAGAATGAAGAAATATGACAGAAACTCAAAACAGAGTAAAACCTTCGTAAATTTTTCATATTTTATGATGAAGGATCTATACACTTTTCCACAACCAAACAATGAAAAGCCTAGATATGAGTAAACCCAAGAGAATTTATGGACCTAACCAGTAGGAGAACCAAATCAGTCAAGAGAGAGAAAAAGAAACTATGTTTCCTCAAAACTTAACATTAAACTTATACCGACTCGAGCGTATATTCACCTTCTTGTGAGGCGCAAGGCTATCGACAACAATGGCTGCCCTCACTATCACCGTCAACTTCGGCATCCTATACCCCGAGAGCTCGACCTGCACGGGCACATCAACATTTATGTCCAATGGAACCTTACCAGTCCTCTGTTGATCCATCAATGCAGCTTGTAACCCCATTCCAAAAGGGCTCGTGCCGCTAAGCACCACATCCATCACCGTCGTGTTAACGTGCCCTTGATAAAATGCAGGCAATTTCCCATCACATAATGTCTCCCCCAAATACTTGACAGAGACCTTGCTGTTGGTCGCGTAAATAATGGCAATATTTTCATTTGGGTTATGAGCATGAATACTAACCAAGAATTGGGTGAAGATGCTAAGGTCCTCGTAGTTGGGCTCGAATCTAGAAACCCCGAAGTGCTGGACTGAGTACTGTGGGAGTTTGGGGACGAGATAGAGGTAAAGAAACATTAGGAAGCCGGCTATGATTAACAAGAAGATGAAAATGGTGCACAATAGGCAACAGAGGAGGCGGCAACAACCACACCCACGAGAGGGTGTGCGGGAGTAGTAGCGGGGGATGTTGCGACGGTGGGGAGGGGGCCGGAGGGATGGGTCTCTGTTTTGCTCGGAGAGTAGGACGTAAGGGGGGGCATAGCTTGGGTATGAGGAGGGCTCTGTATCCATGCGTTCATGTTGGTTGTATTGTTGGCGATTATAAGCGTCAGCTCCCATCATTTTTCTTCTTTGGTTATGGCTTTGAAGTTTGGGGTTTGTGTTTTGTTTGGGTTTATGTGGTCAGATGAGGGAGAGATGTTATTCAGCGTTTTTCCTAAACCTCATTTTGGCCCCTCCCTCCTCTGTTTCTCTCTTTTTGCGTTTTTTTTCTCTCTAGAGTCTAGAGCATCTTTGTTTGTGGCGGGTTAGCAAATGGTCACAGGTGTGTGGTGGAAGTAGGAGCCAAGCCTTAGGTGACTTGGTCCAGGAAGGACACAGTTTTCTTCATGGTGAGAAGGAAACGCGGTCCGGACATAAAGGGTAGAGAGAGAGAGGGTGCATTATTTTAATGACAAATGTCCCTCTATCTAATTTTTTTGCTTTTTTAAAAACGGTTCAACAATTTTATCTATTTTTAGAAGTTTGAGAGCCAAAAGTTTCTACCTACTAAATATCTTCAACTATCTCTCTCCTTAAATTCAATACCTAACATAATTTATTTACTCTCTTATTTCTTTCACTTGCTCCTCTCCCCTTAAATCTCTCTCTCAATCTTTCATTGAATATTTTTTTCTTATTTCTCCTTAAATCTTTTCTTTCTCCTCCTTTCACTCCCTCTCCACTCTCTCTCCTCAACATGCTCTCTCCCTCTCTCCACGCACCCTTTCTTTTTTTTTCTCACGACATCTCTCCCATTTTCCTTCTAAAGTCTCTCACTTTGTGTGTATGTATTTTTTATTTTATTTTGTCTTATTCTTATTTTGACATTTTTTTGTTTGTGAGATTGTGATTTACAACTAATATACTAGTTAATAATAGATGTCTGGATGTTGTTAAATTTTAAACACCTTTTTAAAATATTAGGTAACAAAGTGAGTTTATTTTATTTGTTGTAATATAATATTATATTTATTTATGTTGTTTGCCATTTAACCTAATTATATTTTATTTATTTCTATCTACTAGATATTAAGCAAGAAGGAGACGTGCATTATTTTATGACATGTGTCCCTCTCCCTATTCTCTCTCTATCTAAAAAAGTTTAATTGTTGTCTCTTTTTTAAAAAATTTCAAAACCAAAGGTTCCCACCTCCTTAATCTCTCAAACAATCTCTCTTTAAATATAAATACCTATCATAATTTCTTTCCTCTCATTTCTTTCTCCCCTCTCACTCGCCCCTCTCTCTTTAAATCTCTCTCTATCTCTCCTTAATTTTTTTCATTCTCTTCCTTTCACTCTGTCTCCATGCTCTCTCCCTCTCTCTCTCCATGCACCCTCTCTCTATTTTTGTCTCAAAATTTTCTCACGGTATCTCTCCCTTTACCTTCTAAAGTCTATATGCGTATTTTAAATATTATTTCGTCTTATTCTAATTTTGACATTTTTTTTGCCAGATCGTGATTTACAACTACTATACTAGTTAATCATAAATCTTTGGACACTGTCAAATTTAAACACCATTTAAAATGTTAGGTAACAAAATGAGTCTTTTATTTATTTATTTTAGTTTGGTACTATATTTATTTGTGCCATTTGCCGTTTAATCTAATTACATTTTATTTATTTCTAGAATATATTAAGCGAGAAGGAGAAGTGCATTATTTTATAAGAATAGGAGAAGTCCCTCTTCCTATTCTTTCTTTCAAAAAGTCATAGGTTCCCACTTCTTTAAATTTTTCTCTTTAAATTAAATAACTACCGTAGTTTCTATCTTATCTCATTTTCTTTTTCCCCTCTCACTCATCCCTTTCTCTTTAAATCTCTACTTAAATATCTCTTTTTTATCTCTCTTTAAATCTCTTGCATACTCCTTTCACTCCCTCTCTATGCCCTCTCCCTCTCTCTCTCCTCAGCTCTCTATCTTTTTATCTCAAAATTTTCTCATAATATCTCTCTTTTTTCTTTTTTTTTTGGGTAATTCAGTGGGAAAGACAGGCCCCTACCGGTTTTTTCAAGTTAGTTTTTTGAAGGTACTAGTGGGGTGGTGTTAGTGGTTGGAATGGAAACCACAATGTGGTGACTACGGTGTGAGGTGCTACCACCACGACCTCAGCCCCTTTCCCAAAAAAAAGTGGTCGGTTAGTAAGGATTTGGGCTGCTACCCTTTAGTAAGAATGGAGTAAGAGACCTCCTCATAGGCCTCGACAATGCTATCGCCAAGGCCTCAGGCAATTCTAAAAAATGGTAAGCCAATAGGGATTTGGGTCCGTATCCTTTGATGAGAATGGAGCCAAAGACGTTATCATGGGCTTAGCAATACTATTGCCAAGGCCTCAGACCATTCTCATCTCTCTCCCCTTTCCCTTCTACCTATTCTTTCTTTCTAAAAAAACAGTTCAAGTGTTGTATTTCTTTTCAAAAATTTCAAAGTCACTTCCTTAAATCTTTCCAACAATCTCTCTCCTTAAATTAAATACCTACTGTAATTTATTTTTTTTCTCATTTTTTTGCTAGAAGATAAACGTTCATTGAAAACAATAAGTTCTTCTTTGCTGGGAAGTGAATTTATTTGTTATGGAAGGCTTAAATAAGTTATGGGTAATGTGTTTGATAACCTGCTGGAATGTTAAGGAAGTTCTAGGTGCCCATGTTTGAATATATTGTATTAATATATATTAATATTTATATATTAATAATTATATCATAAATATATGTATTAATATATTATATAATAAATATATTATATAAATATGTTATATTACATAAAGGACCCGGTTTCTATGCAGCCAAGCCCGCATATGTAGAAATGCGGGCCTCTTAATATATCTATTTTTGAGATGGATTATAAGACTTAATTTTCAAGGATATATAATCTCTAACATGGAGATCATGAATATGAATAAATAAATAAATTTTAAAAACTAGAAATCATAATTTTAGCAAGAAAACATTTGGAACGTTAGTTTTCATTTTTTTTAAATGAAACACCTACTTGCATCCATCTTTAAGATGGACGCTTTACACTTTCTGGACCGCATTTCTGAAATTTGGTCCAGCCCGCATGAAACGATTTTCCTTACATAAATATAATATATAAATATATTTTATAACATGAATATATTATTAAATATATATCATCTTTTCATTCTCCCTTATCTCTCTCTCTCTCCCTCTCTCTAATTTCCACGTAAATATCTTCTCTATCTAAATCTCTTAAATTTCTCAATTCTTATTCAAATATCTTCTTCCTCTCAATCTCTTCTTCTCCCTAAGTGAGTGTCCATATATCTCTTGTAAATCTCTAACTAAAACTCCAAGTTTATGAAAATAGGTTTTTCCCATTTTAAGTCACGTTAATACAAGATAAGCTTTAAAAAATTAACTCATACCAAATAAAAGATTAAACTTTCCTAAAACACTCATACCACACCCTATTCACTAAACAAATGATGCACCCAAACCTACTATCCCACATGAAAAATTCTACCCAATAAAAAAAAGATAACAATGGACAAATTTAATTTGTTTTATTTTTTTATTTGCATCACTTTCCAAGTGGGACCCATCGTTCATAAGTACTCCCATCATGGAGAAAGAACCAAAAGTAAATGAACCATAAGTTGATGTTCATCTTGTTCAACTTTAATGGTTTACTAGTCTTAAAGAAGAGAATATCCTTTAGGAAATGAAAGATGTAGCCGTGGAAACTTAGTTGGCAAGAGACTTCTAGTTCAACGCAAACCTTGCAGAACATAAATCTAAGGACAAGGCTCTAACTTTCTTTCTTAAACAACAAAAAGACATCTCTAAGGACAAAAATTTAAACCGAAATGCATTTGTTAACTTTATGAGAAACCTGTGCACCACTTTGAAGAATGCTGACATTAAAAGATGGTTGTAAAGCCATTACAGCAATAAAACTTAACTGCCAAAGAAAAATATGTGACTATGATCACCACGGTCAATTTAATTAGGAATGATTTTGGTTGGTGGGTAGATTCAGGTGTTATCATCCATGCTTGTGACAACTAGGATTAGACCTATGAACCAATAGAAGACATGAACTCACCCCAACCGGGATTTAAAGCCTTAGCATGGATGCTTGGTACTGTACATTGGACCTGAAATTCAATTCGGATAAAATTCTCACTTTGGAGAGCGTGTTTTATGTTCAAAAAATGAGGGGGAACCAGGATGATCCTAAGATCTGATAAGGTCATTTTGCCAAGAGATGTGTTTTTGTTGGCCAAGAGTACCCATGCAATGGGATGTTCAAACTCGACTTGAGTAATGAACTACAAAACTCTTCCAAGTTTCTTATGAATGTTTCTAATTTATGGCATGCTAGACTAGGTCACTTGAATTCTACTTTAATCAAAATCGTGGTTATGTTAGGCTTAAATCCCTGAATGTGGTCATTTATGTGATGAAAAATGTGAAACCTACGTTCAAGCCAAAACAACAGTAAAGCCTTTCCCTTCAATAGAGAGGAATATGAGTTATTAGGGCATTTACATAATAATATTTGTGACATAAATAGTGTCTTCACTAGAGGAGGAAACATGTATTTCCTCACATTCATTGATGATTTCTCTCGGTACACATATGTTAAGAAATAAAGATGAGACATTTGATAATTCAAAATATAACGCCAAAGTTGAAAATCAACTTGAGAGAAAAATTAAGATTTTAAGAAACAATTGGGGTGGGTTTTCAAATTTTTGTGAAAACAATGGGATTGTTCACCAAGTTACGATTCTATACATCATTCAACAAACTAGCTTAGCGGAGAGAAAAAAATTAAAAAATTGATTGAAATGGTCACAATGCCATGACCATCAATTCTAGTTTGCCTTTATCATTGTTGTTTGTGAGGCTTTATTTTCTGTGCGCCTCATATTAAATCGAATATTTTTTAAGAAAATAGAGAACAATAAGAAACAAAACTTGGTTTTTCTCAAAGTGTGAGGTTGTTTGGTATATGTAAAATTACCGAATCTACAAATAACTTGTGACCCCGAACCTTTAGATGTACTTTTAATCATTACCTGAATCTAGAGATGTAGAATTCTATAAGAATTTTAACTCATAAAAGTGAACGAGAATGTTTTGATCCCCTTTTAATAAGAGATGAACAAGAAACATGGAATGAACCCATTGGAGAGGTTGTAGAAGTAAAGAGAAGTATGAGAGCTAAAAAGGATCCACTACATCATTTCTGGCCTGATTTTTACATTTACTTGGGGGAGGCTAATAAAAAGAGAGTGTTAGGTAAAATACTCATGGCTTCAATGAGGAGGAATAACCTTCCTCTTTATAAGAAGCACTAGCATCTCATAATGCTATCTTTTGGAAAGACGTCATTAATAGTGAGATGGAGTCAACTCTTACTAATATTATATGGAAGTTAGTAAATTTGCACCCAATTCTAAACCTATTGAATTAAATGGATTTTAAAAGGAAAAGAAATATCAATGGATCCATTAACAAGTATAAGGTTAAATTAGCTACCACAGTTTGAAAGAAAAAGAGGGTATATATTATTTTGGCCCTTATTCTCTTGTAGCAAGTATATCATCTGTACATGTACTAATTACTCTTGTCTCCGTTAGATGTCTAATATTCACCAAAGATATAAATACTGCTCTCCTAAATGATGAGTTGTACAAAGCCAGGCCCTGAACACAAAGTGTGCAAGTTGGCTAAATTTTTGTACAGGCTGAAACATGCTCCAAAACAATGGCATAAAAAATTCGATAATGTAATATTGTCAAATAGATGTAAGGGGAGTGAGACAGACAAATATGTATATTGTAAGAAGATTAATTAAAGATGTATCATAATATGTCTGTACTTTGATGATATGTTAATAGTTGGCTTCGGATCTTGCTTTGATGTGAAGGATCTAGGAGTGGCTAATGTGATACTTGGTATCAAGATAGTGAGGAAGGACGATGACCCAACCTCACTGTATAGAAAGGATGCTCAATAAATTTGAGCATGGAGATTGTAAGACAACACTAAAACCAACGGATCCTCACATAAAAATGAAAAATGAAGGGATATGTATTTCTCAAATTGAGTATGCAAGAGTAATAGGTAGTTTGATGTATGCAATGAGTTCTACAAGGCCGGATATTGCGTGTATAGTGGGTAACTACCAAAATACAGAGCATTGAGGTACAATCTTTCAAGTTTTGAGATATCTCAAAGGAACTATCAATTTTGGCATACACCATACTGGTTCACTTGCAGTATCGGAAGGAGTAGTGATGCAAGTTGGAGCACGAACCTCAAAGGGCGTGTTTGATAAGTGGGAGTTTCTTGAAGAGGGAGTCAAATGTCCCACTTCCATGTTTGATATTATCGTGTGGAAGCTATAAAGTGGAAGGGCAGCCTTCCATACAACTTTTTTTTAGTGTTAAAATGAATTCATTTTTAAAAGGCATCCATTCCGTTAAAAATGATGGAAGAGCAGCCTTCCCTAATTGTGGAAAAGTCCCTCCCACTCTCAAAAGCTCCATGAGTCAAATGCACCCAAAGAATCACTATCGACACCCAGATGGGTATTGACTTTAGGTGATAGAACGGTATCATGGGGCACCAAGAACAAAATGTGAATTTCTCAATCTACTATAGAGATAGAGTCCATTGCACTAGATTCTATATATGGCGAAGTGGAATGGTTGAGGATTCACTTCAAAGAATTTCATATTAGCCCAAACCGACACTAGCAATCACAATTAATTGTGATATCCATATGACAGTTGCTCGAGCGAATAATGATTTATATAATGGCAAATCTAGAAATATTGCTTGTAGAGATGGCTCCATCCAAATGTTAATAAAAGATGGAATGGTAAGTTTAGAATTTGTTAGGTTAAAAGAAAATTTGGCTGGTCCATTGGCAAAAGGCCTTGCAAGAAAAGACATTAGTCGGATATCGACTACAATGGGGCTAAAGTCCATAGAGTAACCATTAATAGTGGGAACCCAATCTAGGACTTTTGTTAGCTCAAGAGGTTGAAATTTAATGTAATAAAAACAAGTTGTTTGCATGGCTAGTTGGATCATTAAACATAATGACCTATATGAGGGGTGGTTGAGCTATGCTCTTAATATTGTCTATAACTAGTATAGCTATGATATTTTATATGCAGGGTCACCCTTGATAGATTCACCTATATGAGTATAGAAGTGAGGACACTTCCTATGCGATATACTCGTGCCTAGAGCACTCACAAAAATCACGTCATAAACTCAAGGCCCATAACAAGCTAGCAGTATAAAGGGTCATTGGAAAGTGTGTCATTTGTGTGTTGTGCTATTGGTATATTGGATAAGACCGTTGGTTCAAAGTTATATGCTATCATGGAGCTTGATGTACTTTATAGTGTAGACACTAAATGGAGGTTCAAATCAAAAGATAGGTTTATGACATGCAAATGACATGTTGCTTAATGTTCTCATATTATTTTGAAATAAAGAGGAAATTGTTGTATTTTTATTTGAAAAATATTATTTGTTATTTTAAAATAATATTTGCTTTGTAAACATAGTATTTTAGAAAGTGTAATGTCTTGGAAAGTGTGTTTTGTCCTATTTGTAAAGAGAGAAGTAATGAGTTTATTTATCCCACACATTGAGGATGTGGATGAGGGAAGCCTTCTTTACGTATGTAGATGTTATATTCACTTGTGTTCTAAGAACCAACGGGAAAGAAGGCTATACAAAGCATGCTCAGCATTCGAACATGCAAGCGTGTGTGCAAGGGCACTTGCTAGCACATTTTTGCTTTTCGCCTGCTCAAATCAACATATGAGGTGTCCTTAAACTGCGCACTATGTAGATCAAGCTCATGACTCGTTTCTTTTACCATAATGAGCATCGCCACTGGTAGATCTTAGAGGCATCCAGGTGATGTGCCCCTCCTGTGAACTTGCCCAATTGCGATGAAATAGTGCACCCCCCTATTGATTTGTGTGCTCTGGTACTTGTATTCTACTTGTGAAGACGTGTGCATAGCATGTGACAGTTGGTTTTTTGGAACCCAAAGACGTACCGTATGACTGTTGGCTCAAGCGTAAAAGCGTGTTGACTGGTTTCCTAGAATGTTGGTTATCATGTTGTATGATAAGTGCAACTGATATACCGTATTGACCATTGAAATTTCAAGAGACAATTATTAACTTATGCAATCTTGTGGAGTAGGTGAAAAAGCACTCTCTCTCTCTATATATATAAATAGGGATGTGTTTCCTCCATTTTGTATAAAAGAAAAATAAACATACAATTTTTTTGTCTTTCAAAGCATTTTATGAGAACTTTTTCTGTCTAAAAAGGGGTAACTTTGGTGCTCTAGATCTCATAGTACTTGTGCATTTGATTAGAAACAGAGTCTTTGCAATCCCCTGCTCTTATATATCCTAAGGATAAATTTGCCAGGTAGAAACTTAGATGCGCATTGATTCTTATTAGTAGGGTAAATATTGTCTTGAGAAAATGATATATCGCATCTGGGATCAAAGACATTGAAACTTCATTTGTCTCTTATTTTACCTTGTTTCATGCTCCCATTTCCAACATACATCATTAGATATTCTATCAATGCAGATCAATGCCAGTGAAGGCCATAGAGTACACCTATTTTATATATTCACTAAGATATACTTGCCAGGATGACAAAGGAGACAAGTAACCATGCATCATCCTAGTGAAAAAAAGCAAAGAAAATGAAAGTAAGTAGTCAAGGTATTGTGACAAAAGACACCAATAGGTTTCTTAAAATTAGAAGAGTGATTTTTTTTTCTTGACATTTTTATCATATTCCTTTTGGATTCCAGTGAATTCGGCTACTGCACTTCTGATTTTGCATTAGACCTAGCTGGCATAAGGCTAGTTTGGGAATTGACTCATATTTTGATCATTAGTTATCAACCAGACACACAAATGTGACTTAAAGTAAGTGTGGCATTTTGAATGTCTGCCAACACATACTTCCTGGAATCCAGTGTGACTCCCCCAAGCCACAAATAAGGGAATATTAAAAATACTGCCTGCAGTGCCAAAATGCATTTAGGGGTGGTTTCCAGTCTAGCCCTTTGTTTGCAAGCGCACATGTTTCTTAGGTTCTATGTGACAGTTTGCTTATTTGACAATGTCCTTGATCATTTGTTTGGGGTACAGCAAACTTCCATGCTCAGGCAGGAGGGACTTCCTATGGATAGTCTGCTCTTCCCACCATAGGATGTGTGGCAGGGGAATCTTCAATGCCCGCTGAGTGGAACCACCCTACCCGCTGTCCACTCGTTAGATGGCATAGAACATTCTGCCTCCAACCCAACAGTGTGTGTGTGTGCGCGCGTGTGTGTGCCGTGTCTGTGTGTGCGTGTGTTATACGGCTTCTCTGTGGTGGTTTCATGTCATACTAAATGTTGTCTAAGGACATTGATTGTCATATGTTGTGCATAGGGAATCTTGTAATCGCTGATTGGGCCCAGTTTTAAATTCATATGATTGCACTAGGAAGAGGAGCTGAGAACTCGGATTTCTCTTCCATGCCCCACAAAATTGCTTGAAATCACAATCGTCAAGTTCCTTGTACATTTGTGGCAACAATGATTCCCCGGTTTCATACATGATAGCTTCAACAAATTTTTAAAGAAACAAGCCAAGTAGAATGAGAACTCATCAACTAATAATAAAGAAGCCATCTGATATAATAGCTTCTGAACCCTTCATAGTTATATGGAGAACAACATTACATGTCTATCAGACCAAGACAGAACTCATGCTGAACAATTTAACGTCTATGAGACCAAGACAACGCACACCAATATACCATAACCGCACATACAACCTTCGTCTCTTAGCTAAGAAAGATGAGGATGTAGACAATATACATAGCATATATGGAAGAGAACCCGAGAGGATCGAGCATAATTCTCATAGCAATAGGGTCTTGCTTTATGGAGAATTGAAGACAACCAATCAATGAGCATATATTTAATGCAACACCAGAAAAAATAACTTTTAGAAGTTCTAACTAAATCAATTCCCCCTCTTCTGATCTACTTTCAGTCATTGGGGAGGGTAGCTCTCAATTTCCTTGGCCAGCTTACCAGTCAGCTCCTCTGCACGGTCATCCTGCCCACCAGCGAATTGGTACACCCGAAAGGCCAATTGGAAAGCCCTCCAAAGCATTTGAGAAGAGGACTTAATTCGATTTTCAGCATCCTTTAGCCCTGCAGAGATTGCTGCTTTTGCTTCTTCACTTTCCTGTACAATAATAATTCAATCAGATTGAGAAAAAGGTTGGCTATGTCGCAGAACATTCAAACCAAGGATGGCCATATTGCAAGATAAACTATGAAGAGGTACTAATAAAAATGAATACGAGGAAGTTAGTGACTTTACTTTCAATGCCATCTCTATGCAGTTGGAAGAAACATCCACCATTGACTCCTTGATCCGAAGAAGAACATTGAAGTCAAAGGTGATGTTATTGCTCTGGAAACGCTTGGAATCCTCATCCTTACTTCGTTCCACTGCATCCACTTCTACTTTGATCTGAACATAAGGAATTTCCCAATGTTAGAGAAATAAATAGTGAGACTAAAACCAAGTTCCAACTGATGTGGTGCGCTGGAAATAGTTGTTCTCAGATGGCAACTCGTGGAATCACACAAAGGAAACTACATGAGATAGTCTTCAAATTAAGAAGACAATTTGTAGAGGGAGAAAGTTGGTGAAGAACTACTGGGATGTGACATCCACTATTTAAAGAAAGTCGATTGTTAGACCATTAGCTCTCCATACACTTTTTCTCTTTACAAGGGTTATCCTATTCTTATTACATACATCTTCAAAAGGTGCTATAAGAGCCACACCATTTTCTACATTCATTTTTTTTCACAACCTTGTTAAAGAAGCTTTCAACCCTATCGAGCTGACGAGCTGTTGGAGCCACAGGTTCCCAGCTCTCAAGGCTGGTTGCAATGGAATTGAGCCTTGAATATAAAGCTGATGCAGTCCTTAGTGTCTCCAACTTCTTGGTGGGGAATCCTTCAAACCTTGCCAACACCTGCAAAGTTCAGGGTCTGAGGACTCAATTTCTAAACTAGAGAATTGACCATGATCATCATAAGGTTTTGAATAATGGATAATTATACCATAAACCAATGGAGCATATATAGTATACGTACTTCAAAAGAGCATACCACCATCCATTACTAATGATGGATAGGAAACTACTCATAATACGGGGATAACTACCAAGTTACAGTTAGTGACCTCTTTCCATCATAGAAAACAGGAGGTGGGTGCCTCTTTGGAACATCCATATAATATACTCCATTAGATAATCATATACTTTTCTTTTTTTATAATGTGCACCTGGGTTTCATCAGTTAAGTCCTCAAGATGAAGCTCCACATACTGATGAAACTTCACCAACTGTCCCATGTCTTTTCCTTGGAAAGATTCAATAGCCGATTTCATCTCTATTATAGAAGTTGCATGCTTCTCCACATCCTCCTCTATTTGCTTGAAATAGGCCGACCTCTTTGTAATCTCAGCAAGTGCAGCAGCCATACCCTGTTTCTTGTCAGCCGATTGATGAGACTTGCGAGCGTGAGATGCCTTCGCATCTCGACCCACTCCTTCCACCTTGCCTTTGAGTAGCCTATACAGGTTACTGATTTGGGTTGATCTCCTCAGTTTGGTATTGTTTTTCTTAGGTCGAAGGGCCTTTAAAACGCCCAGTGGAGGAGGGGGTGGAGGTGCAGCTCCGGACTTCAATGGGATCGGAGGGGGTGGTGGGGGCGCAAGCCCAGCTTTCGATGTGATCAATGGGGATGGTGGTGGTGGGTGGGAGGGTCCCAATTTTGGTGAGCACAATGGTGGTGGTGGTGGAGGGGGAGTAGGGCCCACCTTCATAGGAGTTGATGGCGGTGTTGGTGGTGGTGGTGGAACTTGGGTTTTCAAAGGGACAGCAAGGCTCTTCACTTGGTTATTATCAGTCTCCATTTCCATGTCTGGGGAATTGTTTTCCTCTTTCTTCTTGGAGTCATGGGTTAAGTTGTGATCTTGGGCAAGGGGAAACATATGGAAAGAGAGCCTCTTCACATCAATGGGCTTGAGCTTGCCCACAGCTTCAAGTCTTAGAGGCAAAAGCATAGGTGGGGATGCACAGGAGTTCAAAATCTGCCCCAAATTAACTGAATATTGGGTTGTTTCAGGTAGGACTGAGGTGGGTGTCCTAGGAGAATCACAGGAGGTTTTTCCATCAGAGTAGGAGTGTCCAATGCCTACCATTCTCCAAGAGGGAACCCTTGAGACCTTCTTTGAATCGTCTTCTTCCATCAGGTCGAAAATGTCCTTTGCACTGACACTCATGAAATCCATTTTATGCGAAATTCTCTCGCCTAAAATTGAGACAAGTTTAATGGGTGATCAGATATGCCTCTTATTCTCTTCTTAACATTAGCTTTCTTGATGAAAAAAAAAGAAAAGAAAGGAAAAGTTGATTGAAATGTGTACTTAGTTGATCCACAGTGAGATTCTCAGTAGTCAAGACATCGTCTTTAGCTCTATATTGGGGGTTTGTCTCTGCCCAACACTTCTCAACAGACCTCAAGGCCTCGAAGACATGTCCTAACACCTGTAAATTGAGAACCTTTATGGTTAAAGCCTTATCCCAATCACTGAATATAGAAGACATTGCACAGGTATTAAATTATGGGAAGAATGTTAAAAGAACCTGATGAATGGGTGTTGGTTTCTCAAATGTGGAATCACGATATACATGTCTTGGATACAAATTGTACAGGTCTTCCACTGTCATAATCAATAACTGCAATAAGCTTGGAACGTCAGAAGGCACATCCATGTCATATTGGTTTTTTTTTGTATCAAAACAACTTTTTTTTTGAACCTTTTCTCTGATTGTCCATCCAGATCTCTGAATGCTAAATTGGATTTGAGGGTAACAAAATGTACCTCGTTTAAGGGAGTAGAGCCATTGCGAGGTGGAAGATCCATGACATCCCTAAAGTCCATCACCTTCTTCTGGAACTCAACCATTGATTGAATGTTGCCAGGCCACGCAAAATTCGAGCTATCAGACCATCGACTCTTTGAACCATGGGCTTCCTTCCATGCCTGCATTTGGTTCAGTGTCTTTTTAATTGAGCATGAGAAAGACAATGGCGACCACATAGAGAAAAGAAGGGGGAAAAACATCACCAGAATAAGAAAAATGTAGGCATTAGAACAGGAACGATCAAATCCCATGTCAGAAAAAAGAAAACCCAAACATATAACAGCGACAACATGAAAACCCATCATCAAAAAAAGGAGAAAAACCATGAAAACTGATCCAAACTCAATAGAAACTCACATTGGACTGTTACAACAGAGATAAAGGAAAAAAAACTTACCTTGGATTGTTGCAAAACCCAAGAGTGTGACGGTAACGCATCACTGGTAACCAATGCCATATCCCCTTTCCAAAAGGAAAGGTCACCTTTAGAGAGACTCAGCTCTTTAAACAAAAATCAGAGAAAGAAAGAGAAGAAGAAGAATCCCAAGAGAGAGAAACGACTAAGAGAGAGAAAAGACGGAACCAGGAGAGCTTCTGAAAAAACAAAGAATCAGTGATAACGATAGGGGATTGGAAAAGGAGCATCAAATTAATAGAATCCCCAAAATTCTGCCGCTCTCTCTTCACCCGACCCTGTTCCGGGATTCAATGCAGGTCTCCGTTAATTCAAATTCAAACTCCTCCTCTGTTCACAATCGTTTGTCTTGGGCTCTATTATTATTATTATATGAGAAGCGCGGCGCACTGTTCCGGAGCTGGTTTCTAGTTTCTTTTTAGATTTTAGAGAGAAAAAGAGGAAAAGTTAGAGAGAGAGGAAGGGGAGGAGAGAGAGAGAGAGAGAAATAGGAGGAATTTTTTTTCCTCCGCAAGTTTTGAAACGGCGTAACGGCTAGTGAGCCACAAAGGGAAATGGAAGGGCTGGACCCCACCCCACCCCACGTCCTTCTAGTGCCAACCGAAACCACTCTGACCTTTCTACGCGTAAAGTATACTTGTGCGGGCTCCACCGTTGGATCGAGGCGACCGTTGCAATGCAAAGAGGTACCAGATTCCACGAGTTTAGCCCTTTTATTTTTGCGGAGTTCAGACGTCCTTTTATTATATATATATATATATATATATATATATATTTTAAGGTATTAGCGGGGGGTGGTGTTAGAGGTGAGAATGAAAATCATCGTACTTTTTATGTATTCATCGTACAAGATTTTTTATTGTTCATATCCTGCATGGGGTAAAACTTACAATAGGAATATTTTATAGATCTTAAATTTTGGGATGCGATTTTTAGAACCCATAACCAACCTCAAAGGATAAAAACTCGAACTCTAATTCCCTCTGTGCCTAAAAAAGGCACAAAAAATTGAACTTTAACGACATGAATCGCAATATTGCATTGAAAACATCTAATTTTTAGAAAGAATGATCTAAATATTCAAAAATTCCAAATTCCAAATTCAATTTTTCTTTGAAAATAATTATCTAATAATAATTATATAGATCTTGAATATTTGCTGTATTTTTGATGCACCGTACCCCATGCAAATAAAAGAGGCAACGGTTGCAAGCATGGCTTTCAGGCAACAAATATGTCCAAAAAAGCCGTGGAGGAACGGATGAGTCCCGTTCAAGATTCACTCGGGCTCAAAAAAAATGAAGTCCCCACTTTTCTGCAGCCAAGGATTCACCTAATAAAAGCCACGACATGCCCATGCCTTTCTAGCCTTGAACTACCATGGAGTGCACAATAAGGCCCTGATCCTGAAAAGCGCACCAATGACCCCAATTTGGAACCCAAGGGACCTAAATATAGGTCCTATTAACTTGAAGTTGCTTCTCAAATTTTGGCTCAATCGGATGTCAAATTTTGGCTCAATCGGATGTCAAAACATGGAGAAATAAGGAAATTAAGATAAATGGGCACTGTACACGACATGTGTAGGGACAAAAAAAAAAAAAATTACTGTAAAACCCCTAAAATTTGATCTCAAGTGGCCTCAACACCCTCACAATGAATTTAGAAGGCCGAAAAACCCTTAAGCCCCAACTTTTGTGCAAACAGACCTTTCCAGGTCACACTTTTCAAAACATGGGGTGTTTCATACTATTTAGGGTTTTGAAGCTCACAGGCCACGCGTGTTATAATTGTAATGCCTATCGTCATATCTCCACACAAATCCCACAAAAATTGGGATTGGGATATTGCTCTTGTAACTTACTCTAATTTCAGGGGTCTTTTGGAAAGATTTATAGCCCATAATGTTCGAGGGATTGCGCTCTACCATTTCCAGTCATACATAATAAAAAATCGGGGCCAAATTATGCTGGAATATGAAGAATTTGTATATGGAAAAGAGCAGATGAACCAAGAAACCATAAAACACTCAAAACACACTCAAATCTTTGCATTTTTTTGGTAAAATCAATCGTAGAAGTCCTATCAAATCTGCATTCTTATCATGGCATATCGCTCAGTTCAATGTCCGAATATTAAGATTCAAAGCCCTGTATTATAGGTATAGGATGGGAAACCTTTGGGAAGGATTAGATGGGGAATTTAGAACTTTCTCAACTCTACATTTGGTCAATTTTCCTTTTGGCCGAAAATTTTAATTTTACACCCGTCTTTTTCCCCTTCTTTTAATTATCCACCTATGTTTGTACGATATCTATAAAAGGGGTTGAGCCCCTCATTTGTAAGGGCTAGGAAGTTTGGAGTTCATTTTAATAAAATTTGGGAGTTGATTACTGTTTGCATGCTTGAGAGGAGAGAGAGAAATGTTTTTGCATTAGATCATACCCTACCCAATCCCTAACCAGCCATTAACCTCACCCTAGTTACCTCAACCCAAGCCCAACCCCACTTAACCAAGGTTACCAAAACTATAATCATAAACCAACCATTTCCTTAACCTCAACCCTAACCAAACGCAACCTAGATCACTTGAACCCAACCAAACCCACCTAGGTCCACTCAACCCTAGCCTACCCAAACTGGCTCGAGCCCGCTTGACCTAATCCACCTACCCAAGCCTTCTTGCTCACACCTAACCCTACCCTCTCAACTCATTCGAACCTACCTAGGCCTATTTGAGACCACCTAGTTCAACCCATTCGAACCTACCGAAACATTCCAATTCACTTGAACCTTCCTAAGCTTCCTCAAACCACCTAAGCCAACTCGCCTAACCCCATATCTCCAAGCCAACTCGAACCTACTCTCTTGAGCCCACTCTAGCTCGCCCATCCCAGTTAATTTCAAACAAAACCTATTCCTACCCAACCTATCTAGACCTAGCCCACATCTAGGTCCATTGCATCCCATGAGTGTGCAATTGAGTGGGACCAAACGTGCAAGGGAGCAATAGTCAAACCATGCTCTAAGTTTGCTGGTAGTGAAGGCATAGGTCCGGTTCCCTACCCTTTCGGGAGATATCTCTGAGATTAGGTGCCATCGCATCCCGCTGGACAACGAACATCAATAAGGCTTTCTATGGCGTCAAAAAGCCGTGATCTAAAGGGGCTACGACATGGGCATGTCTGACCCATTTGCTTCAATTTTGAGGCAAGCCCTCGTTGTTTACCTCCTGCAAATTAATTTGCTGGTTTACCATTCCCACCGCACCACTTTGCTTTATCCGATTACGCACTAATGGCCTACGGGTCACATGTGAGCACACAGGTGTACGTCACATAGGGCTACGTACAAGGGCCAGCAGACCACCAAAATTTCAAAATTTCAAAAAAAAAATCTCAAAAATAACTGTTTTGCCCAAGGGAATAAATGTGTATTATACGCACTCCAAGAAAAAAAGTAATTTTGTATTTCTTTAAAATAAAAAGAAAATCGATCAAACTATACTTAGGTTTTGAACTTGTAAAGGATTGAGGTTTGTATTGGGCATAAACCATAGACATCGATGTAAGGCACAAGTCAAAACTGTGGCTTAAGATATAATTGCGATGCCAGAAAGTCTTATGCTAATGTGAAAATCTATCGGCACCCGCTAATTATAAAATTTAAAGCTCTGAAAATAAAGTAGATCAAGAAGATCTATGTACAATCGAAGGTGGGCGGTCTAGATAATGCGTTATTCTTATGACTTGAAATCTCTCTTTCTTTTATAATATTTATACATCTCAATGTCGAGATGATCTAGTTGAGGTTTTTTTAGCATCAAAACAACCTTTTCCAAAAGGCTCTTAAGGTGTGTCTTACTTCAATAGCATAAGTTTGACACTTAATATAAACTTTTAACATTATATTTGAAATTTGTAAAATCATTGGTGATTTCAAAATATTCAATAGTTAAACTTTCAAGTGGAATTCAATAAATTTATTAAAGAAAAAGATAAATTTTTCTTTTGAAAAAGCTTTCTTGTAAGTTCAACTTCAATGTTCAATTCCTTAACCTCCTTTAAAATTGATTTATTTATGGGAAAGTCAAAGCCTTTCATTCCACATATAAAGCATATGTGTCCTTGGCTCTCAAATGTCCGACCTGAATAGAGTTGGCTCTTGAGTGTTGGATCTTGATCAGATGGCTCAGAGTGTTTTGATAAATTAGTTTGCAGCAAAATTTGAGGCATGCATGCATCTAAAAGGGGCACCCATGATAAAATAATAAAAATATTTTTGGTGATAGAAAATTATTAGAATAACAGTGTAAGATTAAGGGGCTTTTTGGTCATTTATTTTTATTAGAAATAATTTTTTTCCCTAGGTGTACCCCAATGATAAGAAAGACGTCCCAAATTTTCACTTTAAAATATTTTGTAGAAAAAAGATTAAAAACCTATTGGCATGACATCCTGACATGAACAATCCCAGCTATCCATTCTGATCAAACAGTTAGGAACTGGGGTCAAATATGCTTTATATATAGGTAGGGTCAATAAAAAAGCGTTCCCATTATGTGTAACCCCATGGATGATACTTTCTATGCATGGTTTTTTAAACTATACAACTAACCAAATTACTATTTATTTTTACAGCCATCCCCAAGGAAAAAAATTATTATTATTTTTACCAAAATAGCCCCATGTATAACCCCACAATTCTTTCTCCAAAAACCGTAACCTGAACACATTAACTTTGAACTAGTGTTCGCAAAATTGAACCGGAATGGTTAATCGGTCAAGAGGTTGGGAGCGTTTGAACCGGAACCCGACTAACCGGGGCAGTTAACCAGACTAACCGATCAAGTTGATTTTTATTTAAAAAAAAATGGGTCAAAAACCTCCAAAAATAAAAAAAATAGAAAAACTTAAATTAAGTGTATACTATCATATTATATACATTTATCTTGCAAAAAAAAAATCGAAACAACTTTTTATATAATTAATATTTGAATACTATGAAGATATGTAAGACAATTTATAATTTAACATTAATTCAATTAATGAAGTTACAAAGTCCAACTAACAATGGCTAGTAGTAATGAGAGTGATGAGGGGGATCATAGTATTGTTGTATTTCACTATTAGGGTTTACAGGGTGAAAAATCTGAGTAAGGCCTGGTGGAGTCTGTAATGCGGCAGTGGTGTCCCCTCGCCAGTCATGAACATTTCCCATGGTTCCCCCTTGGCCAAAGTCTCCTAGACTCGTCCAGCCTTCGTACTTTCCCCCACTATGTTCTGTGTTACCCTGACCCTGTTCTATGTTATGGCCCTCAACAGCTTCAATATTATCATCATCATGAATATCCAAGTTATGGCGATGGTTACGGCTTCGTTTCTTCCTTGTCGAGTAACTGCTACGCCTCGA